CTCGAATTAAGTACGCACCCCTTCTACGCTCGGCCGGTATCACAGTGAACATGTACTATGTATGTCTTATTTAAAGACAGTTCGTCGTTCCAAACAAATTTAAAATTATTAAAAACTAGATTTATGTCGTGTACTACGTGATGGTATGGTAACGTAGCGGGAAACGTTTCAAGTTCGGCTTGTTTTTCACCGCCGGCCGCAGCCGACTTGCAAGACGTCACCACCGCATCGAAAGGTAAGGCAAGTGCGGCGAAACGAACAGATTTGGATCCAGCTTTGGATCGGGGAGTGTTGGTGATCACGCAAGCAGTGGTCTATAAAGATTCGTGAAAAAAAGACAATATTTCAATATTGATTTTATCGGTAACGGGGGGTAGTTGAATGTTTATGCACAAGTACGTAGCTTTAATGTTTTTAATACGAAATGCGCCGAATAGGAGAAAGTGACAAGTTTGACTGCGTTTCAAGTAATCTCTCGTTATGTGATAGATTTTTTTGTCACAAAATCAAAGGAATAAACACATGTATTAATTTGTACTCCGTAAAACTTATAAGTACAGTCTGTTCAGAGGAAAGAAAGACTTCCTTCTCGGGGTCCATGTTCTGGAAAGCTGTCCTCAGCGCTGGGCATGCTACGGCCCTCTCTGTGTTCTTCAGCTGTAGGTGTACTTTGCCTGTCGGCGCGCCAAACACCCCACCCACCGACCGGGCGGTAAGATTTCATCAAAGACTACATTAACTCCGCCCTATCATTGTAGCTTGCCGCACAGTCGAGTAGGAGTACATCTAGCTTCACGTCGCACTGGCTGGTGTAGCCCCGCTACAAAGTAATTTCCTGTGGCATTTATCAATAATTAAAAATATCTGTGATACGAAGTGAAACATGGTTAACAATTTCTGAACCTTTGAAGCGACATGGGCATAATCTTTGTTGAAGATTCCTGAGTTGAACTCAAGCCGGAAGTGTATTGGAAATGATGACCATCAGTCGAGGCACAACTGTTATGTTATCACATGTTACGTTACGACGATCAAGAACGTTCACTGCTTGCGGACCATTTCAAATATTACTAGTACCACTCATAAACCCTACAATTGTATGTGTACTTACGGGAGGTTATATTTTTGCCGGGGTTCCACTGAGATCGGCGCCGGCTAGCTGGGGAACGATCCTGTCGGCATGACAAAGCGCCGGGCGTCATTGCCAAAGATCTACATTTTCTTACCGTGGGTGACTTGACTTCTTCTTTTACCGCAACTTGGTGTCAATATCGACGATAGTCACAGGAAATATATGTTCCACTCGTCAATATTCTTATCTAAACATGCTATAGACGATCGATGTTCCAAGCTCCCCGTGCCGGTGTTCCACTATATTCCTGGGTCGTCCACGGATTTGTCGGCGGAAAACTCTGAAATAAAGTACGCACCGCGACTTTGGCGACGGCCCGAGACACTTTTGGGATTTTGAAAAATGTAAAAAGTGCGTACCATATTCGGGAATTTACGGCGTATTTCTT